TTTTGTAAATGAGGTGGAGAAGGAAACTGAGCAGCACCTTTTTATTGTGAGCCATTTCTATAGGCTTTGTCTCCACTTCAAAGTTTAAAGCACAGCTGTGCTTTAAACTTTGAACGCAGTACCGTGTCACGTCTGAAAATCTGTCAGTGGTTGAACAACAGCCACTTCTCCCTTCCTAAGTCACTGAGATTCTCTGGCAATACTGTTTGGGGTGGTGTTAGGTGGGCATAGGTAGCATGCTAGCTGAAGTTCATTACAGGCTCACGTCTGAAAATCTGTCAGTGGTTGAACAACAGCCACTTCTCCCTTCCTAAGTCACTGAGATTCTCTGGCAATACTGTTTGGGGTGGTGTTAGGTGGGCATAGGTAGCATGCTAGCTGAAGTTCATTACAGGCTTCCTCTCTAGCTGGAGTGCTGGTTTTCCAACAGTTCTTGTTATTAGCAACACCATCACACACTGGCAGATGCCGGATGTGGCAACTGCCTTGCTTGAAACTCTTTGGCTTCGCTTTTGAGACTATTGGGGAAACAACAGATGCTACAGGTTGAACCTCTCATCTGGGATTCCCAGGTCTGGCAACATCCATGGTCCAGAAGGACAACGGATGTTGCTGGACCAGAGACACCTGGTGGAAGGCCAGAGGCAGGAGCCCCAGGGGAGCCGGTGGCAGGGTGGCTGGAATGCCAGCTGGCTGCAGTGGGGCCAGGAGCCTCAGTGGTAGGACTGTGTGCTGCTGTAGCAGGGCTGGTGGGGTCAGGAGCCCGCTGCCCTGCTAGGGCTGGCAGAGTTGGGAACCCCGGTAGCTGAGCAGTGGTCTGCAGCAGGAGTGGGAGTCCTGGCCGCAGTCCCACAGGCTGGCGGGTCTGATACTCCTGCAGCAGGGCTGGGTGGGAGCAGTGGCGGTGGGGCAGTGGTTTCCTGTGGCAGAGCTGAAAGCCCCCAATCGGGAGGCCTGGCCAGGAGCAGAGCTGGGCTGAAGGGCCGGTGTCAGGGCGACCATAAATGACATGCCCTTGTCTGGCAAAATCCCTCCTTGGGGACCACTCAGGTCCTGAGGGTGCTGGACCAGGGAAGTTCAACCTGTAGTACCCTATTGTAGTGGTGCCCAACCTTAGGACACAGAAGGGCCACATAAACCTAAGCACAACCTCGTGTTTCTACTTATTAAAATAAGATTTAGGCACCTGTATTGATTTATAATTTAGCTTGCTTCATGTGTGTTAGCACTGTACATAGTAACAACCTATCTAGTTAAAAACAAACAAAGGATCCAGGGCATAAAATGTCTCAGAATTGCAGAAAACGGGTGGTGACAGGAATAATAAAGAGAACACAGCGCTAATGAATTCACAGGCGTTGGGGTCTTATGAAATGCTCTGGTGGCCTGTGTATGGCCCACAACTCTTAGTATGGACATCTTTTTTACTGTGTGACACCCTCCATTCAAGGCGAACAGCATACAGAATACTACAACTGGAAGGGACATGGAGAAGTTGAGTCCAATCCCCTGCCCTCAAGACAGGACCAAGCACCATCTAGAATCATCCTTGACAGATGTTTGGCTAACCTGCTCTTAAATATCTCCAAGGATGGAGATTCCAGTCTTCTTAGGCAATTTATTCCAGAGTTTAACCACCCTGACAGTTAGGAAGTTTCTTCTAATTTCCAGACTAAATTTCCTTTGCTGCAATTTAAGCCCATTGCTTGTTTTAGGAGGAGATTAAGGAGAATACTTTTCTCTCTCCTCCTTGTAACACCATTTTAGGTACTTGAAAGCTGTTACCATGTCCCCTCTCAAGCTTCTCTTTTCCAGAAAAAACAAATCCAAGTCTTTTCAATATCAGTCTTTTCCTATGGCAATACAGCAACTTCTTCCTCTAGGCAAATTTTGCTTTGTATAAGCCTTTATCACACACTTCTGTGACCTATTTATACATGTCTGTTTTATGGGGTGTTTGTTCCCTTGTGAGCTTGTTACAGAAAAAGTGCTAAAATGTAATTCTTTCGTTGATCAGCATGTTTTATAGGGTGTATTTTAGTATCGAACTGATGGCTTTGCAAACAAATTTAAAAAATCCTATATATTGGAGAAGCACCCCACATTGCTTGGTATTGGATATCGAGGCTTACATAGTCAGATTAATTCTGCTTTTTATGAAGTATTTCAAAAATTGCATGTTATTTCAAGATGTACTTCATTTTGCAGAAAAGTTTTAATTAAAAGGATTCAAATTGCCCCTTGTCAAGCATCTGAGCTTTTTTAAAATTTCTATTCCTATTCCAGGATAAAGGGTGTATGTGTGTACATATATATTTGAAAAAAACAAAACAAAAAGGCCATGTGAAACCTTTACCTCTTTAAGATGTGAGTATTGTATAGATCTTCCTCTCTCTGTTCTTCTCCCCCTGTCCCACACTCTTTTAAACGGTATCTACTGTAAAGCTTTTCTTACAGGTCCAAGATTTGTCAAGGAGTCTCCTCCAGCGTTTGCACTGATTTGTGGGATAGATGGTAGGGATATTTGGGCAGTGAGTCTTTCCAAATTACACTTGATCACTGCTGCATCATTTTACTAGAGCATCTCAGCTCCACTAGCTTTACAGGTTTCATCCTTCTACACAATATGGTAGTTCTGGCCTTTATGAAATTCTCAATTATAAACACACACTTTTTTTCTACTCTGTGGACCTCACCAAAAACTCACTAAGTCTAACAGCCATTGGATTAGGGACTATTTTACTATAGTGTATGCTGTATGAATGCTTTCAACTCTACTTTGTGTGCATTGTAAGAATGTTAAATATCGATTAGTGTACTAGTCGAGGAGTCGATGGAATTTCCATTGACTACTCGATAGGCACTTCCGCATTCCTCCTTTGAAATGTACAAGAGCCTCAACGGGGGTTCTTCTGCATTTCAAAGTTGGAACTCCGTGTGCAACCTGGGCCAGTGGGAAGTCCCACTGATTCCGGGCTCCATGCGGGTAATTCCAGAGTCAGCTGGCCGTGGGCTGCACGCAACGTGCCAGCTTTGAAATGTAGACGAGTCCCCAGCAGGGGCTCCTGTGCATTTAAAGCAGAAGTGCCTGCATGGAGCCTGTGGTCAGCAGGGGACTCAGAGTGCCCCATTGATTCCCAGGCTCCCTGCAGCGCTGCCGCTTTCAAATGCTGTGTGGAGCCGGGATCAGCTGGGGACTCCTCAGCTGATCCCAGGCTCTGTGTGACATTTCAAAGTGGGAGTGCTGCACAGAGCCTGGGATCACCTGGGGACTGCCCAGATGACTCTAGGTTCCACAAAAATGGTGCACGGATCCCAGGATCAGCTGTGTCATGCTGCTCCTTGTGCCATGGCGTTTCAAAGTGGCAGCGCTGCACAGAGCCTGTACCCCGGGCTTCGTGCAGCACTGCCGCTTTGACGTATCCATCTCCTCCCCACAGCCCCTTTGCTGCCTGATAGAGACAGCAAGGGGAGGGAAGTGACTAATTGACTAGACTATCGGATAAGCAAATGCTTATCGGATAGTCAACTAGTCCTTAACATCCTTAGGGCACTGCAGTTCATGGTACCCAGTATAAGTCTGGCTCCTAGTCGTTCTCAAATTTGTGGCTATACGCCTTTGTGCATGAAGTTTTGTTAACTGAGGAAAAACAAGTTCAAGAGACCCTTCTGGCTTGTAATTAAGGACAATAGTGCACTCAGTCTCATTTGTGGAATAGGGTTCTGACAACTCTTCTGGCAAGTTTATGGCAACCAAATACAAACATTAAACTGAAGTTCAAACTCCTAGGCTGCGTCTAGACTGGCATGATTTTCCGCAAATGCTTTTAACGGAAAAGTTTTTCCGTTAAAAGCATTTGTGGAAAAGAGCATCTAGATTGGCACGGACGCTTTTCCGCAAAAGCACTTTTTGTGGAAAAGCGTCCTTGCCAATCTAGATGCGGTTTTGTGCAGGAAAGCCCTGATCGCCATTTTCGCCATTGGGGCTTTTTTGCGCAAAACAGTTTTCAGCTGTCTACACTGGCCCTTTTGCGCAAAAGCATTTCCGGAAAAGGGCTTTTGCCCAAACGGGAGCAGCATAGTATTTGCGCAAGAAGCACTGATTTCAGAGAGTAGACAGTGTTTTTGCGCAAAATCAAGCGGCCAGTGTAGACAGCTGGCAAGTTTTTCCGCAAAAGCATGTGCTTTTGCGGAAAAACTTGCCAGTCTAGACACAGCCCTACAGTTTTGAAATCCTAATTTAGCAATGAGAGAACAGAACCCAAAGGGAATAGGCTAGGCTGAAGCTGTTCATCACCCATATACTAATAAATAGTTATCACTGAAATGGCAACTTTGTCATAAAAATTTACATTATCAGTTTATAAACAAAACTAAGCCATGCTGCAAATACACTGACAGAACAACTTTCTTAGGCACACTGTCTATAGAAATCAATTATTTGAATACATTTGTTGTCTTTGCTTTTTACAGTAATTCTTTCTATTCCTTACAACACTGTTTTAACGCACTGCTGGTTGGTTTGTGTCTCTGCAGTTAGAAATGTTAATGCAAAGTATCTAGCCTGCAATCATGCCTCGATATTGGTGGAAGTTGTTTTTTTTTTCCACAGCTGCCTATGTTTAATAGATTCCGACACTGATGCCTAGCTTAAGTATTCTCGGCTTTTTGGATTACACTCCCCTTTTTAAAACATGGCATTTTGTTGGCATTTTGTTGCAGAACCTATCACAATACATTAGCTAAACGTTATGAGCTAAATTATTCATTCCGCTACTACTCTTTGCTGCTACTCCTGCTTGAAATCTACCTGCAATATAAACAAGCGAGTCAGACATATATAAGCCTACAAAACACCCATATTCATACATCCTCAAACTCAGAACAAATCTAATGGGAAGTGCCCTATGTAGTCAGTGGAGAATGATGCAATAGGAAGGTGGATTTTACACTCAAAGACATTATCCTCCCATGAGAGAGAAAACTGAAGGGTAACTCACTTGAGCATGTTAGTTTGATTGACATGTAGTCTCTGCCACAGTCCTTCTTGTAGTGACAGCGCAGCCAGTTCAGGAGGCAGAGTCCGTTGCCACACTGTAGTTCTTCTTTTTTACAGGGCAGAATGCTTTGTTCATCTGAAAGGAAGAGAAACAATGGATGACTTTGTTACTGAAGTAGGAAATGCTTGCTGCACAATGCCACAGATCTTCTGAAACTCTGTCTTCCTCTTAGCTGTCTTTAAAAGCTCTCTGAGTGAAAACAGATTTGTCTGTTCTTTGTCAGATAGCATAAGACAGCCTCCGACTCAGACAAAAGCTTGGTATATAGTTAATCATTTATACAGTGCTGTAGATCTATGTAGCACTGCACACAGGGAAAATGTGCAAAATACATTAGATGGTAAAATTTTCAAGAGTATAGGCATTAAGCCAATTCTGAAAATGGGATGGGTGTTCAAAAAATTACCTGCAGTATCTGTTCCAGTCCGTATAAAAAAGGATGACAGAAAAGAGGATACACTTAAAACTATCTTAACTTCCACTGAGAGAGCTGTGGAAGGGAACTTATCATAACTCATTTCCAGTTGAAGAGAGTGAGGATGGGGACTGAATCTCACTGTGTGGGCTGAACACCCTAAACATCAGAAAAATGTGCATTTGGATAAATGCTAAGAGCGTCATTTGGCTTCAGAGCTTGTTAGGACAGAGCAGGATCTGACTTACAATGATCAAATGCAAGGCTGAGATGTTTTTCCGCTACCATATGTGTAATGGGGGAGAATGAAGAAGAATCCATTCACTCCGCCCCAGGACCATCTCTGATCCCTGAGGAGGAAGATAGTAGCTAACCATCCCACCTCTGCATATGTAGGGGAAAGGTTAAATAGTTATCCCATGACACAACTTTTGATCTTGGCGAACTCCTCATCACACCATCTCAGTGGGGGGGCCAAGAATAACTTTGGGCATGTCTACCCAAACATGATTCTGGTATGCATTAACAGGAGTGTGAGCAAGACACAAGAAGTCATTCTTCCGCTCTACTCTGTGCTGATTAGGCCTCAATTGGAGTATTGTGTCCAGTTCTGGGCACCACATCTCAAGAAAGATGTGGACAAATTGGAGAAGAGCAACAAAAATGATTAAAGATCTAGAGAACATGAGTTATGAGGGAAGACTGAAAGAACTGGTCTTGCTTAGTTTGGAAAAGAGAAGATTGAGAGAGGACGATAGCAGTTCTTGAGTATCTAAAAAGGTGTCGAGGAGGGAGAAAAATTGTTCTCCTATCTAAAGATAGGACAAGAAGCAATGGGCTTAAACTGCAGCAAGGGAGATTTAGGTTGGACAGTAGGAAAAACTTCCTAACTGTCAAGGTGGTTAAATACTGGAATAAATTGCCGGGGGGAAGGGAGGTTGTAGAATCTCCCTCTCTGGAGATATTTAAGAGCAGGTTAGATAGACGTCTAGACGGTGCTTGGTCCTGCTGTGAGGGCAGGGGACTGGACTTGATGACCTCTCAAGGTCCCTTCCAGGTCTAGTATTCTATGGGTACGTCTAGACTACATGCCTCTGTCGCCAGAGGCATGCAGATTAGGCTACCAGACATAGGAAAATGAAACAGAGATTTAAATAATCGCCGCTTCATTTAAATTTACATGGCTGCCGCGCTGAGCCGACAAACAG